CACACACACACACACACACACACACACACACACACACACACACACACACACCAACATTTATTGTATTCGCCACTCGCCCAGATGTCCACATAGGCAGGCTCTAAAGGTCAGGTTCTTGACAACTGCAATTTTTACATCCGGGTGGGTTGTAGAGAGTATAATGATTTCAGGATGTAGAGAATTCCTAGCCTATTTTTATTGCATTGTATTTCACATGCACTCAGTGGCCTATATCCACTTTCTTTCTTCGCCTTTGCATCTTCGCTAGAGTTAACATATCATCATGTGACACTAATATAGACAACCAAATAATGGAGGACAATTACTGTGAGGTTCATTCGAGCAGACTCGTATCTCCAGGTCCTCCAACTTTCCCGCCAAAACCTTCGCCCACTGTTCCACGATGTGGTCGCTAAGGCAGCAATAGTTGAGGTTGATCTGCTGCAGGTTGCTGAAACCCTAAGAACACGGATGATGAAACGAAGAAAATGTCCCATCTCTTCATAAAATAAAATTCGACAACAGAAAAATATGTTTTAGAGCTTTATCCTAACCATTTTTATTTTGATAATATAACCTACTTCGCCAGGCTGTAGAAAGCGTAGAAAATGCCCTGTACAGTTTGATAATTTGAGTCGATATAATATCTCCGACAACGACCTCGGTCCGATCCTTAACGTGTGTGAAACAGCACCTGTGCCTTTATAATGGTGGGATAACAGGCCCTTTGTCATAACAGGAAAAAAAACGTGAATCAGGAATTGAAGTCACGTCTTTAGAGTGCATTTCACAGTGATGAGATTAGGACAGTACAGTCTAGAATAATCTAGTCCACATTAGATTAGGATAATACATAATAGTAACATTGAACATTGGAAAGGAGCTGAGGGAACCAGCCTTATCAGCACACCAAATCGCTAAATAGAAAAAGAATTGAAAAATCCTGACGATACTCGATAGATAACTGTCCATTGATGTTTGAGACTGTCTTCATATTAGTTGGGTTGTGGTGTGCCACTTTGTTGAAACAGTTAGCAATGAAACACATTAATGATTGTCTTCAAACATAACTTGCCATACAGTTTCCGCTACAATAATTTCCCATGCCGATGGTTACGTTTAGCTTCTGTTTCTTGTTTTACCTGTATACCCCCCCCCCTCCAACCCCTCAAAATCTCAACAATTGTCGATAAGACATAGAGTTTGCCTGACTGAAGATACTTATTCTGGTGCATTGACCTCTAAATGAAGCTGCAGCCCATTGGTGATCAATATGATCAAATTGGATCAGGTCGATTCGATTAATATCGGCGTTATTGCACACAATAATAAATTGACCTCTGCTTTGCTTTATCAAATTAGATCCGGAAGACCATTAGGGCCTGTCGTAATCTGGGTGCAAACAAAAGATCTGATTTTATTGTGCATAGTCATAGTAGTTGCCTTCTGATTGGCTGTTTTCACCCGGCGTCAGACTTCAGATTCATGACCTATAAAAAAACAAATATGTTCAATCTTGAAGAATCTGATCAAACTGTGCCTAAAGGAACACCTGGCCAATAAAATGTATCAAAAGTAAGAAAAGATTATCTGGCGACATCTGAACTACCGTGGGCACTGTGTAAATCAATGTACATCGCATTTTCGCTACTCACGAGTATAGCTTTGACATAAGCGGGTATTTCAAAAGCGGCCAGTTGTGTGTGGAAGAAATCTGGTAGTTCCAAACAGCTGATCTTTGACCCCGATCCCTCTGATGCCGCTGCCAGTACCTCCGAGCCAGGCAGGACACCGAACTGGGCAGTAGACAGGTCCAACAGCTGGGTTTATTTTTGAAAAAGAAAGAAAGAGGAAGTATGGTAACAGACAACTGAGAAGTAAAGAATAACAAAAGAATAATGACTTTTTCATAACATTTAAAAGCCTGCATGGGCTTGTCCATAGACTCTGTGTTTGCTTGTTTGTTTATTAGTTTGTTTGTTTGTTATAGTTGCTTGTATTCAGTCGGTAAAATTTACCCTTACTGCGTTGTTTTTTCTTACACCGAATAACACATGCTGTGGCCTACATATAAAGATAATCACATTCTTTGTCTGTTTACCATCGAATCATTGAATGCTTACACATGATGCTCTTATAAGTATTATTAGCTGTTGTTGTGGTTGCTTTCTGGGGGCGGGGAGGTGGCGTCTAATCGCTACCTCAGAATTACAAAGTTCTATCTGCCCCAAACCTAGTTTTGAGAAAGTTGTCGTTAAAATATTTGTGTTTCACAATATGTCAAGTTTTTTCGAATGTAGTTATTTGAATATTTTGATAACGACTCCGAATATTCTTATGATTTTGATATAGGAGATAGATTGTCTAGAGCATTTGGTTTCCGACCCCATGGTCTCAGTAACTCAAAACGACCAAAAAACGTCAGACTCTTGTACTTCTGAGGTAGCGAAAGAGCTGTACCTGAAGGTTCCGCAGAGACCGGAGCATGTGCTGGAGACACTGGGCCACCTTAGGCCAGAGATGAGCGTGCTTCCACAACCTGTCAAGCTCTAAGTCCCTGATGACCAGGTGCTCTTATAAGTACAAATGTATTATTAGCTGTTGTTGTGGTTGCTTTCTGGGGGCGGGGAGGTGGCGTCTAATCGCTGCCTCAGAATTACAAAGTTCTATCTGCCCCAAACCTGGTTTTGAGAAAGTTGACGTCCAATTTTTTTTTGTTTCGCTATAGGTCAAGTTTTTTTCGAATGTAATTATTTGAATATTTTTAAAACGACTCCGTATATTCTTACGATTTTGATATAGCAGATAGATTGTCTGATCTTGTACTTCTGAGGTAGCGAAATAGCTATACCTGAAGGTTCCTCTGAGACCGGAGCATGTTCTGAAGACACTGGGCCACCTTAGGCCATAGTTGCGCGTGCTTCCAGAACCTGTCAAGCTCTAAGTCCCTGATGACCAGGTGCTCTTATAAGTACAAATGTATTATTAGCTGTTGTTGTGTTTGCTTTCTGGGAGGGAGGTGGCGTCTAATCGCTACCCCAGAATTACAAAGTTCTATCTGCCCCAAACCTGGTTTTGAGAAAGTTGGCGCTAAAATTTTGAATTTCACAATATGTCGAGTTTTTTCGAATGTACTTATTTGAATATTTTGATAACGACTCCGAATATTCTTACGATTTTGATATAGCAGATAGATTGTCTAGAGCATTTGGTTTCCGCCCCCATGGTCTCAGTAACTCAAAACGACCAAAAATGTCTGATCTTGTACTTCTGAGGTAGTGAAATAAATACCTGAAGGTTCCTCTGAGACCGGAGCATGTTCTGAAGACACTGGGCGACCTTAGGCCGTAGATGCGCGTGCTTCCAGAACCTGTCCAGCTCCAATTCCCTGATGACCAGGTGCTCCAGCCTCGAGTGCTCCAAGTTAGAGCAGAACTGCTCCAGACTGCTGGCTATTGTCTCGCAGGTGTTGGACGTGAGATGACGACATTTGATGTACACATGACGGAGGCACGGGCCCATTTTCTGGGCAAATACCACAGCGCGCTGTCCTAGAAGTAGCAAAGGTTTGTTAAGGTGGTATTTGATTATTTTTCTTTTGGTTTTGTTTGTTTGTTTGTTTTTAATTTTTATCAATTTGTTTTGTTTTTTGTTTGTTTGTTTGCTATTGTTGTTTGTTTGGGTGGGTTTTTTTGGTTTTTTTATTTGCTGTTGTTTGTTTGTTGTTTTGTTGTTGTTGTTGTTGTTGTTGGGTTTTTTTGGGGGGTGAATGTATAAAGACGACAGTGCTCCACATTTCCAAATTCTAAAAAACAACTAATATGTTCACACCAAATTTATACAAGATGACTTCCAAATAATATAGCTAACGAAGAACGGATCTGTGGACTATTCGGTTTCTATCCCAAATGTTTGTTAGTTTGTTTTGTTTATTATTTTTATTATTATCATTTTTTGGTTTTGTTTTGTTTTTTATTTCTTTGTTTATAACAAATATTTAAACAATAAGAATAGAACAAATATTTATTTAAATTAGATTCTACATAGGCAAAACAATGACAGAGCATTTAATTGGATTCAAACACCAAATATTTCTTAACATATTACAGAATACTGCATGCCTAGTAAATAGGCTAAGCCTTTATTTGAATTGCTTTGTATTCCACTTATGGTAAATAGCCACCACTTTTTTCCACCTTCACCTTCACCTCTTTAGTACCGCGTCTCTCCCCCTCATCATTAGTCGCTTTCTCTCTAATGAAGTTAATCGCACCAGCTACGAAAAAACATTCCCAAAAAAAAACAAATGTTTTGGCACATCACACAGCCCCACCTCCCCCCACCCCCTCCGCGCTCCCTTTCCTCAAAGCTTGAAATCAAGAAAGGCCACAACCAGCCGAACATGTCCCCACTCCTTGAGATTAATTAATTAGGTACAGTGCGGAGAACGCGCTGAACGACTATTAAAAAATTTATTACTTTAGGAGTGCTGGACTAAGCTCGCGGATCCTACCTGACGAATTGGCCTTTGAGCCCCCCAAGACGAAATGTTTGCTGCGCCACAAAGCGGGATTAGTGAAGGCTTTCCCCCACATGTGACAGACCTGGAGAAAATAATGACATTACAGAGTTTAGACTACATGTGACAATTGCTCGCGATTTTTGCTTGGCTGAAAAATGCGCACGTGTGGTTAGATATTGGCAACATCGACATTACTTTTTCATAAAATGGCCTCGTTGATAGTTGAAGTTGTTCGGTGCTGATAACGACGACGACAAGGAAGAGAAGAAGAAGTGGAGAAGAAGAAGAAGGAGAAGAAGGAGGAGGAGAAGAAGAAGAAGAAGAAGAAGAAGAAGAAGAAGAAGAAG